AATCTATAAACTATGTAAAAATATTAGGAAAAATATAAAATATAATATAAAGCTAAAAATAAATATATACTAATATAATAAAAAAAAATAAATTCTATTACAATATCAAAACAAAGTCAAAGAAATATAAAGACATCTGGCATTATGCAAGGGCCAAGCAAGTCTTTAAAAAAGAATACAGAAAGTATCTATTGTGACAGTATAGAAAGAATTAAAAGAAGAAGAAAAGATCAGAATTTTATCTTATATATTATATACAATGCTTTTAGAAAAACAAAAACAGAGAAAAGAAAAATGAAAAAAACATTAATCAAAGACCTAATTCTAAAAATAATTCAAGACAAACTAGCACAACTTCTAAGTATAAAAATAAAACAATAATTTGTAAACATATTAGCAAAAACAGCCTAAAACACTTTTTATAACCAAGTTTGAAGAACATAATATGAAAAGGTCAATATATAAGAAAAAGAAATAGAAATAATTAGCAGAATAAAAAAAAAAACAGAAAAAAAAGAATCCAAGTAAAAAAAAAAAAGCTAGTCAGTAAGAAATAGATAAAAGAAAGAAGAAAGCAAAAGAGATGAAAAAATAAATAAAAATTAAGCTAAAAAAACAATTTTAAGACTTGTTGTAAAAGAAAGAAGATCCTTTTATTATAGACTTTAAGTAGTTAGACAAGCAGCTTACTTCTGCTCAAAGTAATATAGCAGGTTGCACTTAGGTAGCATTAGAGTAGCTGAGTGATGCTAGACTTAGTTGTTAGATATATTTATATAATTACAATAGTAATTCTAAGAATCTTAATAAAGCACTAGTATGACTGCTTAAGTTTTAAAAAAAAAAAAAATTAAAAAAATAAACTAAGACTATTATTTATTTATAATTATATATAATTGTCTAAAGCATAGCAGAAGACATTTAATGATTATGCATAGTGATACAAAAATTATGTTTTTGATACATCAATACTTACATTTTTGATTAATTAATTATTAATATATTAAAAACATAATTTTGAAAATTCTTGTCTGTTTGTATACATGTCTATATTTGTATTTTAGTATAATAAACAACATGCAATTACACAATATAATGATCATGTGTCTTAGATACACAATGCTATATATTAACCTAGTAAGTTAAAAAATTTTAATTAAATACATATTTATAAACTTGTAAAAATTATATATTTGCTATAACAGAGGTATAGTTATATTATATAAATAATAAGATAGATAATTAGAAGGTTTAAATAAATAATCTTCTAATAAGTTATAGGTATAGCATCTAGTATAGAATCTTAAAATAAACAACTTAAATAGGAAATCAAAAGTTGTATATATGACTAGTTGTACTCTTTTTTTTATAAAAATAATATAAACTAACCTCAATAAAAATCAATAAAGTTCTGTTATGAAGTATGTTTTTTAACATAAAAAATATATATATATATATATATTTGCTATACTTTATACTATATATAAAATACACTATCTTTAAATAAAAAATCTACAAATAGGTTCTAAGTATAACAACTAGTATAGAACTTTTAAGCAGATTATTTAAATTAGACATTGACTAAAATTGTACAAGTGACTAGCTGTACACTTTTTTTATAATTGTTCTCTGTAATTGTAATGCAACTATTAGCTAAAATATATTATTAATAAAATCCTGAATTACAAGTATTCACCTTAACATTAAACCAAAAAAATTCAAAAAATAATTGTTCTAATTTTCTTTTTAATATTATCTTTTCAACTTGTTTCTTTAAATATAAAGAAATCTATAATAAACTTTGTTTATTTGATTCTACATCCTTATGCCTTATTATAAGTAAGTATTTTCAAAAAACATTTAAATTTTTCAATTTAAAAGTTTGATCTGTTGCTCAAAAAACTCTAAAAATTTTTTAGATTCACTAATTATTTTGAAGCTAGAATTGTTAAAAGCTCTTTATTTGAATAATCTGATTTTTGTTCTTTATGCTACTGTTTTATTATTACTAACTTGACAATTTCAGTATTATTTAATTCTTCCACAGTAGGAATATACAAGTTATTAAGTTCAAGATACTTGTTAACCTTAGGCAGAACTGATGAGTCTAAATCAGTAACTCAAGATTTTACTATAATAACCACAGTTTGACTTCTAAATAAAAGTTTTCAGCACAAATTTTAGTTATATGAAAACATTTTTAAATATCGAATATTAAGTAAATTAAGCCTGCGCTAAATTCTGATCTTTGTGCTCTTTCGATTTGGTAATCGGCACAGATTCAGTACGTCTATTATAAAACGCACCTATGGTGATTTTGGCACCTATTTATTATGTTTTATAGTTTTTATAAGTTTTGTATATGGTTAGTACTTAGAGTTATAATTAAAGTTTGGGAATGGTTTAGAACATTTTTACTTAGAACCCCTCGTACAGATTAATTAGCCAGTTTTTGAAATATTCACAGATCATAGGTGCGTTTTATTAAAAGTGGTATATTTAATAACATTTAATATTATTTAATCCAGAGATTTTTGGACAATTCTTAACAGTTTAAATCATTTTGGACAAGGTTTTGCCGATATGAAAAGCTGACCAAAACTGCCCAATTAACAACAGATTTAATTCCCCTTTAACTTGTTTAAACTACAGAGAATTTTAATACATTTTATTAAGAGTATATACAATTTAAATGTTTTAATATCGCATTCTTCTGTACTAGACGTATTATAAAGCTTTAGAATATTAGTAACCTTACTATCTAACCATATTGAATACCATACTATAACGTGGATTTTTATATAATAAGTTGTAAAAAAAAAACCGATGTCAAATGCTTATCATAACTTTCGGGTATTTATCACAGAAATCGAATGTCCCACAATATATTATGAGCCTCCATGACATATGTCACATAATGCGATAGTTTTTCCATCACTAACTTTGCCAGATGCCAGAATTGGATCTAAATACGATGACGATGGTTTACATGAATCGGTATCACAATAAAATCTAAAACAATCCAAACACCCGCGATCCAAATCACAGCTTACACAAAAGTTCTTTTGAATTTTGCAACTAGAGCATGGAACACTGATAGTTACATTTGTTCGACATATTTCGCATGTATCTAAAGAGTGACAGAAATAATAATAATAATAATAATAATAAGAATAAACAAATCACACATTATCAGGTATGAACTAATAAATAAATGATATATTACCAACATCAAGCTGTATCGGCCTCTCTGTTTTCAATTGTTTCAAAGCTTTCAAAAAACCGAATAACACGGTACTATAATAATCACTTACGTCATTCACATATAAACGTTGTCTCATAATTGTTTTTGGACTCATATCTTTACACCAAAGTACTTGTAATTTTCTTAATTTTAATATAGGTACTAAGGGTTCAAACCAAGTTAGAGCCGTACCTAAATCACGTAAGGAAAGATTTAGACAACCTCGACAACTTATTTCCTCAAGATTTAGAAAACCATTTATGGATTCCCATATTGAAGTACAGTTAATAGACGTGAAGTCAAAGTTTATAGAACAAACTACGGACGACAAGTTATTTTTTCGTAACATATTGAGAAGTTGACGAGCGCGCCTATCGTCAATACGGGATAGTTTATAGGGAATTTGGAAAGTAGTATATTTAAGAGGGGATAAAAATTGTTTTTCGATTTGGATTTGTTCTTCAAAATTTATAAAATGAATGTGGCGCCATAAAGGCGGATGTTTAAGAACAAATGTCAAGTCCTTGCAAGAAAGGGCTAATGCGTTAAGTGAGTATAAGTCAATATATGAACATATATCAACGATGATTTCGAAGGGAAAATTGATAAAATGCGGCATTCTACTATCACTACTAATTCAGAATTAACAAAGAGGACGTGGCAAAAAAAAGAAAAAAAAAATTTTTTTAAATTTTACGATGTGACACATTGGATCTTGTATTACCAATGAGTTTGGATCACAACACGGTTTTTTACTTTAAACGATATAACGAAACACCATAAAAATAATAATGCTTATTCAATTATTTTCTAAGCAGGAAATCGGGTGGTCATTGGTGCATACAGATGATCATCATAATTACATGAAAAAAATTAGGAAAGATTAACAAAATTGAGAACGAATTAATCAAAACTTTATATATTTCAAAGATTAATACGTAAGCGATGGCACCACTTACTTAAGTATCCAGCTATTTACCGTAGCAAAGGTGTTTTGGTAGGGAAGATAAATAATTAAATTTGTTATAAAATCAAAATTTTATACCTCTAAATCATTGTTAGGTATATATAAGTCATGGGAAAAATCTATTAGTCAACAATTTAAAGTACTTTAATATTATAAAGATGAAATTGAATTTAAAACTCATAATACATCTGATTCTTCCTACATGCATTTCTCCGGACAAGAAATATGAAAAAAGTAAAAATCTGCACTTAGAGGGAAACTGCATTTAAAGAGAACAAAAAAAATATCTAACCACAAGTGTTAATTAACAGTTGGTGTACACTTAGGAGCGTGCACGGTACATACATATCAATATGTACGTACATACATAGTACGTGCGTACATACTTAGGGGTATTTATCGTTTTAAAGTGTTGCGGTTGAGAGCCTGTGGCTTAATCTTGTGGCTAATCAAAGCAAGAATGAGACCAAAATGCAGGTCTTCTCTAAACAAAAATAACAAAAATCTAAAAAGAAAAAAAGTGTTGACTACTTCTAAAAATAGTGATCTTCAAATAACATTAATGACATCATTTTCCCGTTCTGACAGTTTTGGCATTTTAAGAGGAGAAAAACGTCTGATCTTATCTGAGTACGTAATCGGATGTTCACTCCGCTTGATCGCATGACGATTCCTCTCCTTAAAAAATAATAATGTACTACGTAACACACAATTTTTAAGAAATAAAATTTCAAATTAAAATGTTTAAGGTTATAACGATTTAATTTTATCATTTATATAGATTTGACATTATTGTGTTAGTTTATTTATTTTTTTAAACAAAGAAATAATAGAATGAATAAAATAAATTCGAGAAACAAACTTTATATCTAGCAAATCTAACAATTATCTACATGTGATCTTTAAATTATCAATATTGTACAATTATAGTTATCACTACCACTTACCAACTTTAAAGTTTTTAATTAATTTTTTAATTTCTCGGGTTCTTTCATATTTTAATATTTGTTGCGTTTGTATATGTAATAATTCCAATCCATTATTTCTTTTAACAATTATATTGCTTCTAGTTCTCTGCCGATCTGCCCCGCGCATTATACCTTCCCCACTCTCTCTTCTCATTTCATTCCCTCTTAAACATAATCGTTTCAAGACAACGTCTAAATGTTCGTTTCCAAAACACCCGCTCCATAAAATTTCCAATTTTTTCAACTTTAATGTAGGATTACTTAAGAATAAATCTAAACTTTCAGGTGTGTATGTCCAACATGAATGTACGAATAAATTTTCTAAATAATTCAAATTAACTAAACTTGACTTTCGAAGTACATTATTTACATTTATTTCAGGATGTCGTGGTCCAAATATTGTTAGAGTTCGTATTTTTGGACATGAAAAAAAGAGTGTATGTAAATATGGTAATGAATTGGCATCAACATATATTTTTGCCATTGTTAAGTTCGGGCAATATTGTGAGATGGTTTGTAAAACTCGATTTGGTGGAAGTGTAGTTGCTATAGTTTGCTGTTGTTGTTGAAGAGATGACGTTGACCCCGGAGAAATTGATGTATTAAGTGTAGAAGGTGGTATGGAGATATTGGAAATTATTAATTCCTTTAGGCCAACATTCGCTCTACGCAAAATAGATTCAATTACTCCACATGGCGCAGATGAAATTTCTAATTTTTCAATTTTAGATTCAAATTCATGAACATCCGTCATATCTTCAATACCAGTTGATAAGCTTGCAACACAAGTTGGCAAATAATAGCATGAATTCAGTAAAAGTTCTTCTAAATTCACAAGTTCAACCAACCTAATAAGTGGTCTCCAATTCTTGAAATTAACTTTGAAAAATGTAATACTCCTTAAAGAATTTGTCTGGGCGATTAATGCAGAAATAATATCACTTAATCCTATTTCGGTATATCCAAGTTCAAATTCTTTTAATTCTTGTTGAGACCTGATCAATGCAGCGATCCCTTCAACTTGCGCATTGAGACTCTCGATTCCGTGTTTCAATAAGTTTTTGGGATTAACTATTGCGGGTGGAATATCCATCCAAATTTTTATCTTTCTTAAATGGATTGCAAATTTGGAAAGTGTATGAAATAATTGCGCGTGACATGGAGTTGTGCAAATCAAGCTGGATAATTGTGAGAGACGATGATAGAAATTCGGAAGGAGTGTATGAAACCATAAATGAGGCTCTATTGCGCATGATTTTTGATAAGTAACACGCAAAGTCTTAATGATTACGGAATGATTCATTAATAATTTTCCAAGAATATCTGTGTTGAGCAAATATGCAACAGTGGCGTCACACCCACTTATTGATGTGGATGCCACGGTCCTCCTACACCCCATACGTTGAGGTTTTACCGTTGTTTGTCCAAAAACGCTCATGTTGAAAGAATGCAATTTAGTATGAGAGGAGGTTGGTTGATGTATAAGTTTACCTTGTTCCTTCTGTAAATATCCCATTACAGCCTCTGAAAATTCGTTGATATCTAATGATTTTAAGAATTGAATGTAGTTAAAAATGGGTAGTTTATAGGTTTGACAGTTACACGTTTCTTGATCTTGGAGGCATGATATATATATTCTAAGAAGACTGGCCGCCCTTTCTGACCATGGTAAGTAGGTTTTTTTATCTCTGAATGTATGTAAAAATCTAAATGGTTTGCTCCATAGGATCATCACCGCGCTTTCACACCACTGAGTGTTAACAAGGGTGCAAGAATGCAGTGTGTTGGCATCCTCATCAAAATTTGTGAAAATTTTTACAAGACAATCCGCCGGTAAATATCTGGTCATTTTCATAAGTTGGAAAGGGCGAAAAATGATTATAATCTTACTGAATGCAGGTTTATATACTGATCGGACTGAATCAGTGTAGTACAAGTTTCTGCGATAACCATACCGATACCGATAACAGTGCTTGTGCTTCTCATTTACGTAATTCGGGTAATTTAGATTAAGCGGGTAATTAAGTGTTGTACAAAAAATCTTTGACAGAGTATAATCACGTGAGTTATGTTTAAGAAGTGAATAGGATTTTTTTTACCATACATCAACTATTTTCCAATTCATCCCTTATTGAAATCTTCCGAGTAACACGGTTAAATGTACAATAAGGATCGAAATATGGAAATGTGAATGTGTAAGCTTCTAATTCTAGATGTATGTAAAAAGGATCTTTCCGGAAGCCTTCCACACAAAGAAAGAAATTACTATGATTCTTTGGTGGCTTGGATTTTTTCATTTCGATTCCCTTTATCCACAAAGAATCGTGACAAACAAATGATATTTTAGGAAAGCTTTTTTTTACGTAATTTTTTTTCATGGGAATCAAAGTGTATGCTATTTATAATGTTTATACTGTTATTTATACTGTATGTGATTATCATTGGGATTTCAGTTGGCTAAACTCTTTTTAAAGCCTATTTCTTGATTACAAGAATAAGTGAATAAATCTGTTTTTCAAAGTTTTCTTCGTTTCAAGTAGCAATTTTAGCTCACATATCAATGCTACATGATTTGATTAAGTGTGAAACTATATGATGTACATCTGATATGCGGTTCCAAAATTCCCCTTGCGATATATTCTTGTTCATATCACATACCTTTTATGGTCCCGGCTATTCGTCGTTCCGTTATCATTTACATCTCTTTATTTCGACTATTAAAGCGTAGATCGTTCATTCATGTGATGCCTATGAAAAGCCAATTAGCTGTTGTTCCGGACAAATAATAAAAGTCACAGGATCGTGGGTCTTATTATTGTGTTATATTAAAATTTATTTATACCATTATACCATTTTTATTAGACAATATGCAATTTGTGAAGCATTGTAATGATATTAAATCACTCTTTAGCGATGCAGGAAAGAATAATAAGTAACCCGTGATAATGATAGATTTTCTTAATTATCACACATATATGTAATTATATGCTGGATTTTGACATGTGAACTGATCAACCAAGCTTTACCATTACCGTCACCGTTACTACATTTGGCTTCGCTTGCAGCTCGATCAATTTTCGATACGTACGTACCTGATACACGTCACTCTGGTTATACCGACATCTAGATATAACGACATCATAGCAAAATCTTTTTATACCGACATTTTTCAAAATTTTAATATAAAATGTCGGTATAACTCACTGTATCGACTTTTTGAAAATTTTTTTACTAATGTTCATAAATGTCGATATAACCAGAGTGATGTGTACTTGTTTCCTAAAAATTCATAACAAAGGAACTTTAGAATTCCTGATTGGAATTCATCGGAATAGTGATCGGTTTGACCGGAATTACCAAATCTGCTTAAGGTCACTCAAATTTTACCAATGGAAACTGTGGCCCACTCATTAAGTAAAAATGCTCAACTGATAATTTTTGCTATAATGATAGATGAAGCTAATTAGTGTTGCTTGATTCCAGTCCAGCTCCGATGAATTACGACTCGGAATTTTAGGGGTTTCCATGTAAAAAATCAGATTAGAGATGTTTGCCAATGTCACCAATCTTAGGAATTACCACTACAAAATCGTCACGACGGTAATTGTCGAACAAAAAAAATCTGCCAATGGTGGCATATATTTCATATATCATGTGACCTAACACGAGAATTGTCATCATACTTTTTTTGTATTTTATTTCCCATTTACCGCTTTCACTCAAACTACTGTATAATAAATTACGAACTAGCCATTTCATTATATTTCTATAATTCTTATATATATATATATAGCAGGCAAGCATATTCTTTTTGATTCACAGGGTCCATTCTTTTTGGTACATAAAAAAAGGTCCACTTGTTTGATACTTCTAACCTTAATAAAAAAAGTGACCTTTTATGAATCAAAAAGAATGGACCTTGTGAATCAAAAAGGATGAAATTGCATATAGCAGTGTTCAAAAATTATATATTTTTACTTTCATCAGCTATTTTAGTAAACCAAGTTTATCTAAATTCTATGTGGATTGATTTTACTAGTCAAAGTGTCAAAAATCAATACAGTCAGTTTGGTCAATTGATTGTCGAAGATGCTGAACGTGTTGAATGTATGCTGGTTACGTCGGTATTCTACTAGCATTCCGTTTGCTAAATAGATAGTCATCCGGCTAAATGCCTATTAGTAGAGTCAAATAACTAATCAGCAAGCAGAATGATATCAGAATGTCGACAATAACCGGCACATATAATCAATTAACCAAAGTGAGTTATCTGCTGATTTTTGGAATTGTAACTAGTATTAATCTAGTAAAGTAGTATTTTCGCGTGATAATTCAAAAGTGAAGCATGCACATTTAAAAGATTTTGAATTGATTCCACTTGCTAAATCACAATAAAATAGCAATTCATTCATTTTGTTGAACTTAAAATATCAATTAAATGTTTTGATGTATTTGAGAGAATTAGAAACTATAATTGTATTTTTCTGTTGAACATTCGCTCAAAATATTGACATGATACATCACTAGATACCAGTGAGCAATTATTGTTCGTATCGTCGGTTTCGCTCACGATAGTTACAACGCGCTCGTTTCTTTTTAAAGCCATCTGCAAGCTCCAATTACACGAAATCATTCCAAAACCATTTCTTTGGTAGCATGATCATAAAAGAGTTAAGGAACAAAATATTCTTAATCCATATATGCATAGACATAAAAATTTTCACACTAACAACAGTCGAATGTTTCACGTGTATCTACATAAATTCCGCCGATTCACACTGCCTGGTCGGTTAACTAGTATTAATAAGACCCAATTGATATGCAAATATATAGTACGTACGAAATTATCAACTTTAGATGTCGATCAACTGATAAGGTATTTGATAAATCACTGATTACTAATTTAATATTTTATTTCGTGTGAGATAGACGTCATATGATGTTGGCGCAAAGATGATATCATTTCGCGCAAGGTGCGATGTACGTACATCTCATACATCTCTAACCCCATCCCAAAAAATTGCTGGCCAATCAAATTTGATAGGGTGCGATGTGAAACTTCACTGACAAAAAGTTCTCATTCACACGGGTAAGTTTTACGGAGGTTTAATTGGAAGTAAAAATTGACATCATGTATAGTCATTTTATAATAACAAGTTAGAAAACCAGTCTTATGTTATCACGTTATATCCAAAAATAAGTAAAGGAGCATTTATTTTTGAAACTATTATGTGTTCCTGTTTTTAAAGTTTTCTTCTTTGCAGAATACTTAAAGCCTGGCATTTGGATATGCCGCTAAAAACATGGCACTGGGTACATTATAAAATTATATATATTGAATATATACTTGCACTCTAAACACTATATGTGTTGCTCGAATGTCAATCTGACTTGAACTATTATTAATTTAGGCCGGGTATTTAGATAAATTTGGTAAATTGACGCCCGGACCCGTCCATATCGACAATTGGGTTTTTTTAACTTATTATATAAATTATTTAACTGTTTCGTTTATTGCTGGTGTAAATTATGCATTTACTAACTTAATGCAGTGTTTTTAATTAGAAGACTGGGAAGGCCAATTCCAATGCCTTTCACCCATGAATCCATTCAATTGTTAATTATGATTGGCTAAAAATCGAAAAGAGGTATCGTAGCTTTTAAATAAAAAAATTTCCAATTATCCAATATTTTTATTGAAATTCCAATTCCAATAAAGTTGATTGAAAGCTTCCAACCAACAACTATGCTTTAATATTTTGCCAAATTTATTAATGCCAGCTCGCTTTAGCATTTTACAGTCAACTCTATCTAACCTTAACCATATTAAGTTCTCTGAGAACTGAACAAAAAACTTCAGAACATTTGTAAATTTTATTATAAGTTCGGATTAGCAATATATATCTCTTTGAGATAAAAATTTTTACATATAAAAATCCTTAAAAACTTTTTTGCCGGAATAGAGAGAGTTGACTGTATATTTACAACTTATTTGCTTGAACTACTTTCCTTTGATACTAGTAAAATTAATCTAAGGCTGATAGTATGCATATTTGTAGCTTATATATGGGACATGTAACTTACATAAATTATATTATAGATCCGACATAGTACCTTAGGTCTGACGGCCATTCATTAAGTAAAAACGCCCAGCTAATAATTTTACTATAGAAGTACGTACATAGCTGACTGGTTTTGCCTAATGCTTGCCCAGCTTAGGCATTTGATATGTCAAATTTTTAACTTCAAATCAAGTCACAGATTTGGCAAAAGAAATGCCGAGCTTTTTGGGACTCCACAGGACTGTTATAAGATTTACACCGACTTTACACAGATTGGAAATCTGCATAATCCTGTATAATGCTAGCCTATTTCCGTAACATGTCATTAGCAATTATAGCTGTTTTCATGACCGAGTTGATTAGGTTTCTGATTTCGGCAGACAATGTGACTTACAATATTTATTCCAATTCGGTAACTTATCGATTCGGTCATCGGAAAATTTATCACAGAATTTATAAACATACGTAGCAAAAATAATTAGCCTAAAATTACGCAAAATCCTACTAATGGCCCATTAAATGGAAAATGCTATTATTTAAAAATTCTTTTTTGTAACCAAAGAATTATATAAATCCTGGAATAAATAAACTCTTCGGAAATCACATAGCTGTCTTCGGACTGAAGGTTTTTAAGATAGCAATGTAGTTTTCGAAGAGTTAGTACTGTTTTTTTGTCTCAACTTATATATATGCACAACCTTTATAACCAAGCCTTTTTGTAATACTAATATTACATATCTTTTAAACCATTTAGCAGACAAATTTGCTTGTTAAATTTTTTTTAAAA